AAATTTCTTCTTTGGAAAGTGGTGGCACAGAGTTCCCCACGTCGTATGGATACGATTTAAAACAAAGACGTACGGATAGGGTTAAATGTCCCATATGTAGGTACAAGTAGTAAAAATATTTTCTCTGCAGTTCTGTTGGCTAATTAGTCAAATTTAGCTTATGTATACGAACAATCTAAAGACAATGAAGATATAATAAAAGCAACAGAAATGTGGTTTCTAGAAGACTGTTAAGAGTATCGTGGAAGGAAAAGAAATCAAATGAGGTAGTGCTTGATGAAGCCCACGTGGGACGCTCAATGTTGAAAACAATCAGGAAACGACAAATGCATGAACTGAGTGCATTCCTGTTCCTCTCCGCTCCCTTTCGTTTCCAGTCAGACCCATTTCCCTGATTGACATAAAAATGGGAGAGATAGGAATGTGACACGTTTTTGTCTCCCCTCGTTTTCCGTTTGTGAACATCCGGTGATGTCATTAAAATAGTAGATCTACATCGTATTGAGTTTGTTACTCCTGTGATGAGCAATAGCGGAGACTTTTCAATTACTCTTATTGTTTTGGGTTAAAAGAAGACGGGGCTGGACACATAATCTAGTATTTTTCTACGAAAAAGTGATTTTGGAGAATATCACCATCGATTTCAATTTCTGTTCCAATTTCTTGCCACTGTCTTGCGATGAACACTCTATCGGAGTAGTTATCATCCCTTTTATCATAAAGTGGTTGCCGTTTTTGCACTGCAGCAAGGAGCGCTTCGTTCAGTGATACTGACTCCATTGTTGTAGGTTGAGAGGACAAAGACAATTCTGGTGGTCTGATCACTTGCTGAGAGAGAACTGGGAGAAATTTTAGTCGCAAGAAAAAACGTTCGCGTTCGGCTCAGCAACTGGTGGCGGCAAGGAAAGGAGAGGAAAGCGAGATGGGTGCACTCAGTGATCAAATAAGAGACACTCCCGATGATTCGGTAACTGGGAGGAAAGGGCAAGCTGGGAGCAGCAGGGAACGGAGACGAAAACTAATGCACTCAGTTTATACACTAAAACAACCACTTGTATAAACGACTACTTCACACTTCTCTCCTTGCGTTCTTCCTATGTTATAATGAAACTGCCTAAGAGGACCACCTGTCTAAAAAGACCACATTTCTCTTCGACAATGGACGGTCGTCTTAGATTGGATCGACCATACAGCCTATACGTAAAAGCTCACTTTCTAGAAAGAAACAACATCTTACCAGGTGGGAACGGCAATCGAATTCAAAAGCTTAATTATATTATTGTCGACTAGTTGACGTTTTGTATACGTCTCAACACTTCAGCTGACACACGGCATCGTTGGGTTGTTTACAGTCATAACAAACTCCAGCCAACCCATTATAATATAAACAACAAACTGTATGTTTATTGCATGGAACATACATTTTTTACCCAGTTTTGAGTTAATTTTTATACAAATAGGTTTAAGATGGGCAGAGATAAAGGGAAGTGTGTGATGCTCAAAACTTAGACACTACCTCAGAATGACAACGTTCTATATGCCCTTTACTTGGTTTTGAGAAATTTGATGTCAAGATTTTCAAGTTTCACAACAATATGTCAAGCTTTATCGAATTACAGTTGTTTTTTGTTTTTGCTTTTTATGATTATTTTGATAACGACTTCGAATATTCTTACGATTTTGATCCAGTAGACAGAACATCATTTTGGATTCTGTCTCGGTAACTCAAAAAGGGCCAAAATGTCAGTTAGAGTTTTGTACTTCTGAGGTAGTGAGGTGGTATAACCGTCCCTATACTAGGAATTATGATCCCTAGAAGAGGGCGTTGCCCACTTCTACGACATTTCGACCGCATCCAACCTTTCCGAGCTCCTTACGTAACACCCAGTGATAACATTGAGGCTGCCTATGACGTCATAGTAGCACACGACGAATACTTTGTATGATTACACCCCCACGTCACCCCACCTGGGTTTTCTTTTGTGGCCATTTGGTACTATACTAGTATGATTATTGTATAATAATTATCCATAATGGCCATCCCATATTAAGCTAAAACAAAGTTGGATATTCTCTGTTTGGGGGAAGGGATGGAATGGGTACACAGATACCTTCTCAATGGAAAAGTGCTTCAAGTAAAACTTTTTTGTTAATATTTATTTCTTCCATACTGATGTTTTGCGTTTCAAATTTGCACACAACATTTGGAAGCCAAAAGGAATTTTACTGATATTCATTTTAGATAAATCCACGGAATAGTTTTGCTCTACATAGCGCGTAAAAAGACAACCCATTTTCTGCTATGTCCCCATTTTTGTAGCATGACGCACTAGTTCGCAAATAGCCCACCACTAAAAATCCCAACGATTGTGCCATATTGCAAACTACTGTTGTCTAACAGGCCAACAGAAGTTTGCTGATAGTTTTTCTCAAGTTTCCTTTGCCAGCTGAGATCATGGTTAAGATAAGTAAAGTGCAGAGAGCTTTTGGTATTGAACATTTCCTCACCACTAACTCTTCTCGTAAATTTCACACAAGGTACGGAAATAATGTTAAAGTGTCCTTAATGCCTTCTTTGATGTCAGGGATGGAAATGATCCATCAGTTGGGACGTGTAGAGAATCAGAACTAAACATTCCTACTCAAAATGACCACTTCAGGTCAAACACACCGTTTGCACCCATTTAAACGTCACCATGATGCAGCACTCTG